GTCCAATATATGATAGTATTATATTAGGATATAGTTTTTCTTTTTTCCAATCATATTGTACTTAATATTGTTGTAAATGATGCCCTTTATGGGTTCTTGATTAGATTAATAAAATTCTTATCTCTATATATACACAGTGGTTACAGGGGGGAGGACGTGATAAGAGGGTGTGTTATCTTGAATTCCCAGACAAATAAACACTGAATCCCCAATTTCCGGACAAATAAAAGCTGAATCCCAAATTCATGAAAAATAAAGCATTCTTTCCAGAATCCCCAAAAAATAATCATCAATTTCAGAGTTCCGATGAGTGTAAATCCTGAATTGCGTCAAAAATAAAGGCCCAATGCTGACATCCATTTAAACGAAGGTCCTCAGCCAATCTTCAGCGCACAACTATCAAACAAACTATGGAAATATCTTTAAAAATAACTTTTAATGTATATATTTTTGGATCAAACAGTTAACAGGTTCCTTAAAATCGATAAAAATACAGAGAGAACACTGCAGACGTCATACATCAATACAGAGAGAACACTGCAGACGTCATACATCAATACAGAGAGAACACTGCAGACGTCATACATCAATACAGAGAGAACACTGCAGACGTCATACATCAATACAGAGAGAACACTGCAGACGTCATACATCAATACAGAGAGAACACTGCAGACGTCATACATCAATACAGAGAGAACACTGCAGACGTCATACATCAATACAGAGAGAACACTGCAGACGTCATACATCAATACAGAGAGAACACTGCAGACGTCATACATCAATACAGAGAGAACACTGCAGACGTCATACATCAATACAGAGAGAACACTGCAGACGTCATACATCAATACAGAGAGAACACTGCAGACGTCATACATCAAAAAAACTAATAGAACTAATTCTCCTTCAAATGCCTGCGAGACAGTAATTACATAATACGGTAATGATTATTGTAAACAATTAAGAAAGATAAAGCCTGGAATAGTTAAATATCTATGGAACGCCATGAGAGAAATCAATAGTTTACATCTGTTATATAAGACAAATATAAACAAAAGGCTTATGGTTATTTTCATTTAGGGTTTTTTTTTTCTTAATTTAAAACAGATGCTTTAAATTTTTCCTTGAAGTTATATAACAAAATTTCACTAGATTCTTTAAATTTCTTGAATTTGACCACTTGAGTGAAACAAAAAATAATTATGAGCCTGACTTATTCATTGGTTGCCATTGCTTGTTGTCTGTCATATTCATTTTTGTTTATTGTTAAATCATATCAAAGCCGATTAGTTTTTCATTTGAATTATTTTACACGCTTTAATTTTGGGGTCTTTTATAGCTAATACTTCATGGTGTGGGTTTTACTCATTTTTGAAAACCGTAAGATGACCTATATCTGCTTTATAGTCATCATAACATTTGGTCTCCAGTGGATAGTTGTCACATTGTCAATTATACCACATTTCCTAATTTCTAGTGGGGCTCTGGTGGTGTGAGTCTGGCCATACCTTCTTTAAATGACAGTACAGTACAACAAGGTATAATTAAGTGAGGATTTTTCCTGGAGGAAAGAATGAGCTATCAGGTAATGGTCCCCAATTTACATTTCTTGTCAATCCAAAAGCTGAAAATATTAGGATCAATATGAGCTACTTATTTTGATATTAAAAATGATTTTAAAATTTCATATCTCACACAATAACCATTTAAACTTTTACACCATTCAATAAAACAAGGAAAAAATGTTTAAATTATTAATATAAAATGTGTGAAGTTTCTATCTCTTTTCCCATCAGTATGCTATTTAACATTGATTTTAAACCATCTGAACAAGTGAAGTTTATTATGAATATATTTTCCTCAATAGAATGTGAAGTTTTATAAATGGGCTTTAAATAGAAGAACGATTGTCTATACCATATTGATGTTACACTTGTAAGTATCACCATGAACGGTCGATCAAATTTATATCTACATCAATAAAAGGATTTTATTCATTTCTCTGAGTACATACTTAATACAAGCAGAAAATAGTATTTCAAAAGACCTTAATGTCTGATGCCCTAATGTCCAGTTGCAAATTGTTCAGAAAGTTTAAAAAATATCAATTTGTGTGATTTTAAAATTAGTATGGACTGATAAAGGGGCAGACAATTTGGATTATCCAACTTCTCTTTCCAAAATAAAGGAACAGCTTTCCATTGTCCTCCATTGCAGAGCATATTTTTCATCTGTTCAAGTGAAATAACTTCAATATTTTAAACTTTTTGCAATAAAATTCAGAAGAGAACTATTGATGTGAGGGTCCTTACAATGTAATTTCCCATATAATTTCTATTTCCAAGGGACACAACTACTGTGAAAAAATTATATCTTGTCTGAAAATTGCCAAGATAAAACTTTAAAAAATGCCTTAAAACATGTCATGTATATGTAAAAGCAAATTGAAGTTGTTTATTGAGTTCTTTCAAAGAGCATGGCAACTTCCTGACACATGCCTAGATCTGAATGAATATATTCAAATCCACAACAACAAAAATAAATGCTCCTCAACAAGGGAGTTTCATATTTCTGTAAACCAGCTTACATTTGGTTCCCTTAGATTGAAGAGTTTAACAATCTGACAATTAAGGTGGTACCAAACATCTTGACTAAAATTAATTTGGCTCGTTTAATTTTCATAAAATTTTGACGAAATATTTACTTTGACCCTTTGAAAAAAATATAAAAATTTCAAAAACTTGAACCACACAATTTATCGGAAAAATTTCTTTGGATATCTATAGCAGTTTGACAAACACTAATTTTGATCATTGAGAAGCTTAATATTTCCTTAACAATACAACATGATTAAAACGTGCGGCTGATTTTTACAGAGTTATCTCCCTGTAGTGTAATGTACCACCTTAAGAATACTAAAACAAGAAGTTGGACTTATCCTTAATGTGTGAGTCCTTTATATATGTGACCAGATCCCAGATTTGAAAATTGCTTTAAGGGACCATCATTATCATTATCATTATCATTATCAAATCATTCCTTATTACAAAAGCCGAGTTATATGTAGCCCAAGTTATTTGATGTTCTAGTTTTGGAGTGAATTATATATTCAGCAAGAGCAAGTGTCAGTCCTTATCAACTTCAATGTTCAGTGTAACTTTAAAAAGAATTGAAGTTAGAAATTGGCCAGGAGATGGAAAATTTGTTTGGGTATGTAAAAGTCAATAAGCCATTATTTACATGGAAAGTAATTCTTTCATAAAGAATAAAATGTTCTTAAAAAGTAGTTTCTACAAGAAGAAAAGAAGCAAATCTAATGAAACTATAGCTAGCACTTGGTATTAAAAACTTTTGGGTCCAAACATTTAAGTCTAGTACTAGAAATATAAATCTGTAAAAGAGGTCAAATCAATTATTAACTCCATGCTTTAAAAATATTCAAGTTAAAAATTTCCCTGCAAATTTCTGACTTCTAAAATTTTGACAGTAAACAGAATAAGAACTTTGAAACAAAAAAACTATGAATATTACTTTTTCTATTTGTCAACAATCCTAAAAAAAAAGAAAAAGAACCCTAGAAAATAATAATTTCATATAAATAATAAAAAATATTATAAATAACTTACAATTTGCAACTGGCTAAACATCTCATTAGTAACATACATAACTTGCACGGAAGAGAAAGTTATTGAATTGTTTTAAGTAACCTTCTGATAGTCACTGTTATAAGTAACCTTCAATAGTCACTGATAGTCACTGTTATAATTGGCCTTCGCCTGGATTACTCTTGATTAAGCCAATAGTAATATTGATTCTCCATCAAAACGTTCAACTGATATGAACTAACACATAAAACTATTGACCACAATGGCACGCTGTCCAAACAAGTCAAATGTTTGTATCAGACAAACAAAAATTAAGTAACATCCTTTGTGTGAAAGTCATAATAATTGTTTTTATTTATAATATCTATTAAGTCCCTTGTCCGAATTTTTCATAATTATTTTATCTCGTTTACGAGAGAGCTAAGCGAGTAAACATTTTAATCAATTTTCATATCCCTGTCCAAACAAACAAATCTAAATTCTTTTCACCTTTATCATGTAAATATTAAAATATAAAAACATGCGTAATCTTTATACTTCGAATGAATGGTATTTTAGGAAGCATTAAAATCTTGCTACACGACAAAACTTGACTATCAAATGTTCCGTTAGATTCATTAGAAACAACATTAACTTTCCCTTACAACTAAACTGTAGACAGGAATGTAAATTTAATCAGTTCAAACATATTGCTAATTTTAAGATAAAAATTTCCTTTTAGTAATAGTTTTTCTAGGAGCATCACAAATTTTTCTGTAATTTAAAGTTAAAGTGTGAATCAGGTTTAACCGTGCAAGTCAAAAGTTATTAGGAAAAGTCTATGCCAAGTTATTAAGATGAGTGACAAACTATTTAATACTGTGAAAGGTTGGATCTTTTTTTTTCCTCTGATGTGGAAGGATAAGGAAAAGATTATTTATTTCTTGAATGCACAAAATAGTACATGTACTTTACAGTCAGGTTCTCAATTTCCTGGTTTTTTTTTAATCTTTTTTGTCTTTTTTTTTATAAATCAAGATAAATCATTGCAGATCCCCTTATAGTAAAATGATTGACCCGCCCTCACTTGTTAAGGACAGAAGTTCATGAAATTGTCAATAACGTTAGGCATGGCTGTCATTACCTTCCTAGATTAATTTTTTGTACCATTATCTAAAATTCAAAATGATCAATTTTTTATTCTGTTGTAAATGTGCATGTTTTATGGTTATTGGTTTTGTGTATACCTGTTTAAAACATTAAGACCAATAGCATGTACTAAATACAAGGTTAAATCAATGGCGATCTTGAACACTTCATGGCCTGTTTTCCTATGAAGTCACAAAATAGAATTGTGAATCTATTTTCATTAGACAGAGTCTGAATTGATTGACAATTACACAGGCTTACCTGAAAATTAATTTGTTGGGCTAGGAAGCCTTGAGTGGAAGAGTTAGGATGATCCTGATCATCTGGGTAGCAAGAATGCTTTCATGGTAACCAAGCAAAATAATTGCAATCTGTTCTAGTGGTTCTTCTTATCACAGCAATCAATATCAATTTCTTAGCATCTGACAAAAGAAAAATTAAATCATCTATTATTTTCTACTGATATATTGTTTGAACAAACATGATAATTGTTCTATAACAATATACTGGATACCTGTTTATCTGGTTTCCAACAAAGTGAGAACTGATTTGAGAAAAATGGCTATAAATAAATATATGCAAACTGTTCATAGTACTGCAATGATAACTTTTAAAGCAGCTCTTGTCAACTTTGATGTTGGCTTTAAAAAAAACCTGGTGGACTGACTTCTAATATATAAATGTACAGTAAGTATAAATTAAGCACCATTATGCTAATAAGTGGGCACAAGTTCCATACCCTAGGAAAGCTGGCCCTCCCAAAACATCAAACACATTAAGCACCATGATCATTTCAATAGTACAAAAATATGATAAGCAATATTTAGTAGGTACTGTTATGTAGATGCATTGGATTCCAGAATTCTCAAATCTTTTTTTATCTGGTAGTCCTTGAAGAAAATCTGCTGGTCCTCCTGCACTATTATTTCTATTGCAAAATACCAAAATTGTGTTAGTCCTTTGCAAAATTTTGGTGATCAAAACCTTCGGACCACCACTTTTCGAGAACTCATGGATGCAATCCTGTCCACTTTTCTATAAAATGTGAATAAAACTTAATGGTTTTAATCCCCCACTTAAGAACACTTTTTTTTAACCTCTACTTACATTTACAACCATTAAACAGATTTCAGAAAGTCACTTAAATGTCTATGCATGAAGAAGACTTAGGCTAAATAATCAAATGATAACTGCTTATTCTGATCCTACTTTTCCAAGAAACAAATATAAGAAAATTGAGCCACAATATATAAAAGTAGGTTAAATGTATTTCCATTAAAGTACATGCCTGTAGCCAATAAAAATGTAACTTGATCTTTATAAATTCTTACACCTATAAATCTGTGAAATATGCATTACAGCATTTAGACTTATCAAGGCAGGTATAATTTTGCTTTCCGCCTAACCATTTATTTGATCTTTGTCTAAAATACAACTGACAGTTTTGTGATAAGACCTTATATTATAATGTTACGTAATTCTCTAAATATTGCAAGTCGGATCAGCATTCAGACCTGGGGGATGGAAGAAAAATACAAAGGCTTTATAGAAGATATAAGATATAATTTAACTCAATTCATATGACAATAGTATTTTCCTTCAAAATCAGATTTAAAGCTTTATCTACATTTAAATATCAATCAAATTGTAAATGCATACTAAAAGCTTCTCTTCCAAGCTCCTAATTGAATTTTAATGTTCTTCAAAACACTTTAGTTCGTAGCAAAAGTTGCAGGGAATTATTGGGAAGAGGGGAAGGGAGTCTGAATCCCCAGACAGCAGCCGAACCAGGGGGATGGGGAAGAAGAGGGGAAGGGAGTCTGAATCCCCAGTCACAGCAGAAGAACCAGGGGAATGGGGAAGAAGAGGGGAAGGGAGTCTGAATCCCCATTCAGCAGCAGAACCAGGGGAATGGGGAAGAAGAGGGGAAGGGAGTCTGAATCCCCAGTCACAGCAGCAGAACCAGGGGAATTGGGAAGAAGAGGGGAAGGGAGTCTGAATCCCCAGACACAGCAGCAGAACCAGGGGAATGGGGAAGAAGAGGGGAAGGGAGTCTGAATCCCCAGACACAGCAGCAGAACCAGGGGAATGGGGAAGAAGAGGGAAGGGAGTCTGAATCCCCAGACACAGCAGCAGAACCAGGGGAATGGGGAAGAAGAGGGGAAGGGAGTCTGAATCCCCAGACACAGCAGCAGATCCTGGGGAATGGGGAAGAAGAGGGGGAAGGGGTATGATTCCTTAGACACAGCAGCATTACCACAGGGGAATGGGGAAGAGGGGGAGGAGCCAAATCCCCAGACACAGCAGCAGAACCAGGGGAGTGGGGAAGAAGGGAGGAGGGAGTCTGAATCCCCAGATTCAGTCACAGCAGCAGAACCAGGGGAATTGGGAAGGAGAGGGGAAGGGGATCTGAATCCCCAGAGACAGCAGCAGAACCAGGGGAATGGAGAAGAGGGGAATGGGGTCTGAATCCCCAGACACAGCAGCAGAACCATTGGGAATGGGAAAGAAGAGGAGAAGTGGATCTGAATCCCCAGACGTAGCAGTAGAACCAATGGGAATGTGGAAGAAGAGGGGAAGGATTCTGAATCCCCAGACACAGCAGCAGAACCATTGGGAATGGGGAAGAAGAGGGGAAGGGAGTCTGAATCCCCCGACAGCAGCAGAACCAGGGGAATGGGGAAGAAAAGGGGAGGGGCCGAATCCCCGGACACAGCAGCAGAACCAGGGGAAAGGGAAGAAGAGGGGAAGGGGTCTGAAACCCCAGACACAGCAGCAGAACTAGGGAATGGGGAAGAAGAGGGGAAGGGAGTCTGAAACTCCTCACTCTTGATTTCTTTTTTGAATACCAGGTAAACAACTTAGACTGTGGATTCCTTTATTTTCGTGGGTACCAATTTTTGTTGATTTGGGAAAATTGTATATTCTTGGGTTTTTGAATTTGTGGTGCTGCCAATGTATGCATACAAGCCTATACAGTATAGAAAATTTACACTTCATTGAACATGTAAATTTGTGGTTCATGTTTACCCACAAAATCCATAAAAATTGGTATCCCACAAATAATAATGAATCCACTCTATTATTCTATAAAAAGTCAGAAAACTTGAGCTGTATGAGTATATATGATTTTTTTAAATGAAATTGTCTACGTAGTTGTCCAAGAGATCAGAAAATTCAATTTAATTTGCTTTTTTAACAAGTTAATCTATTTATCCCTCTTCTGACCCCTGACTCAACATCTATTTCTATACAATTAAAATGTGTTTTTTTGTTGATGTGTTGCTGCCTTATTAATAAATAGCTGAACTACTTTCTTTATTCATATCCATAAACTGGGTATATGCAGTCATTATCGTCATAAGCATGTAATATTTGCTGCTGGATGTTAAGCAACCAACAATCAACTTAATGTGATTATTTCTTGTAGCAGAAAGTCACCTGCATGTTACCCAATTCGAAGTTTCCTTTAATCAATGAAGATTTTCACACCTGAAGCAAGACTAAAGTTAAATTCCTCATACAACCATAGACACTTTATCTAATTTAAGACATAAACCAATGTTTTACTGTTTAAATTATTCATTCCGAGATGTCTTTATGTAGCACTTTCAGTCTATGATAATTGAATATTTATATATGTTTAACAAGATTTAGAAACCTACACATTAGTAACAATTTTTTTATAATCTTAAGTAAAACTGAAAAAAATTACAGCCTTTTACATTATAGTACATGTATATTATTATTGATGGATTGTAATACTGTAAATTCAGAAATTATTGCGAGGTTCTTATTAATGCAAAAAATGCGAGTGGGATAGTATCGCAATAATTAGAACTTGCATTCTGATATCTGGTATATACACATTTGTATGCAGATTTTCCTGAAATCTCAATAATTAATCACACATTTTTGTCTATTCTTCAAAAATCGCAATAATAAATGCACGCAATAATTTCTGAATTAACAGTATTTGTGGGGGCACTGATGAAAGCTCAGCCAACAATACCTTTTTGATACCTCATTTTATTACTGTGGGTCAATGTCACAGGCCTAGCTAGTGACTGTATTGTATGTGGCCTATCTTGTGTCTGTCTTGTATGTGGCCTAGCTAGTGTATGTCTTGTATGTGGCCTAGCTAGTGTCTGTCTTGTATGTGGCCTAGCTAGTGTATGTCTTGTATGTGGCCTAGCTAGTGTCTGTCTTGTATGTGGCCTAGCTAGTCACTGTATGTCTTGTATGTGGCCTAGCTTGTGTCTATCTTGTATGTGGCCTAGCTTGTGTCTGTCTTGTATGTGGCCTAGCTAGTCACTGTATGTCTTGTATGTGGCCTAGCTTGTGTCTGTCTTGTATGTGGCCTAGCTTGTGTCTGTCTTGTATGTGGCCTAGCTAGTCACTGTATGTCTTGTATGTGGCCTAGCTTGTGTCTGTCTTGTATGTGGCCTAGCTAGTCACTGTATGTCTTGTATATGGCCTAGCTTGTGTCTGTCTTGTATGTGGCCTCGCTTGTGTCTGTCTTGTATGTGACCTAGCTAGTCACTGTATGTCTTGTATGTTGCCTAGCTTGTGTCTGTCTTGTATGTGGCCTAGTTAGTGTTTGTCTTGTATGTGGCCTAGCTTGTGTCTGTCTTGTATGTGGCCTAGCTAGTCACTGTATGTCTTGTATGTGGCCTAGCTAGTGTCTGTCTTGTATGTGGCCTAGCTAGTCACTGTATGTCTTGTATATGGCCTAGCTTGTGTCTGTCTTGTATGTGGCCTAGCTAGTGTCTGTCTTGTATGTGACCTAGCTAGTCACTGTATGTCTTGTATATGGCCTAGCTTGTGTCTGTCTTGTATGTCGCCTAGCTAGTGTCTGTCTTGTATGTGGCCTAGCTAGTCACTGTATGTCTTGTATGTGGCCTAGCTTGTGTCTGTCTTGTATGTGACCTAGCTAGTGTATGTCTTGTATGTGACCTAGCTTGTGTCTGTCTTGTATGTGCCCTAGCTAGTCACTGTATGTCTTGTATGTGGCCTAGTTAGTGTCTGTCTTGTTTTTGGCCTTAAGCTAGTGTCTGTCTTGTATAGTATTCTTTTCAATTGCAAAGATTTTAGAATCCCAAAATCTCTAGTTCAGTTTTGCCTCATTTGATACCCTTTTCTAAATTTAAAGTTGATTTTCAAATCCCCACCCTTAAAATCCCAAAAATCCTGTTCATGTGTGCCTCATGTCATCTTAAATTCTCGCTGAGTAATTGTCACCTCATTTTTATTGATCACATCTCAATATTAAACCACTAAGTGACTTCTTGAAATATGACCTTGGAGAATGTATCAGACCTTGAGATGTAAAATGCTAGACAGATGCACTCAATTTTGATTAATCAAATTGTAACTTGACAAATGACACATTCCTACTTCAAGGTTATTCAGATAATCAAAA